CGTCGGCCACCTGGGCGCATGCGCTGACGACATCGGCCTGCTGACGAACTCGGTCGACACGCTGCGACAAGTGACCGCTCCGTTTGCCGCCGCGGAGGAGCTTGCGCCCCTATCTTCGAAGCCACGCAAATGCTCTGTCGCGCCTCTCTGATCTGCCGCGCCCCCCGCCGCCATCGCCACCATGAAAGCGCTCCTGGCCGAAATCGGGCCTTCATGGGACGGCGTTTCTGTTGCGGGGCGTGCCAAGTACTTGGGCACTCATCTCGGACCCGAGGCCTCACTGGCCTGCCAATGGCTCGCTCCTGGGCAACAAAAAAATGGCAACGGGGAAAAATCTGCTTCAGCTCGCGCAGAGTGGCAGCGAGGCCGCCGTTCGCTTATATAAAACATCAGCGTTGACTACGCCTAGCAACGTCTGGCAGTTCTCCCCCCTCCCCCCCCCCTCGACGCCTTCATTGCACGCCGTGAACTGTATATATACCACAAGATGCTGAGCTTGCCGCCGAACTCTTTTCGCAAAGTAGATATGATCGCCATGGCGGGTTGGAGCCCGCCACCAGTCATCCAATCTGCCCGAGTCCTAGCTGTCGCTTCTGCTGCCCGTTTTGCAGCTGTGACGCTCCCAGGTGCCTGGGGGCCTTTCGCCGATCGCCTCGCCGACCTGTCGTGGGAAGGGACAACCGCCCAGGCTGCACCTCGCTGGCAGGCTGGAGCACGGTCGCCGCCCTGTCGGTCATCACAGACATCGATCGCACAGTATTACCGCTCACTGATTAGCAACGAATATCAGACGCCGTTCTCTAGCCAGTCTGTCGCCGCTGCCGCTCGCGCCGCACGCCTCGAAGAGAGAGGCTGCCGCTGCGAGCCCACCTCGCCGCGCCAAGTTTCGGCGCACATATGCAAACAAGCTCCGTGATTTAACTTTTATGTCGCCCTTCACGGCCACGCTCGCCAAACGCCTCTCCTCCCAGGGCCTCCAGGCGCCATCGGCACCTGAAGAACTTCGGAAGCGCTGATACTCCCTGACGGACACACCCAAACAAGTGCGCCCGAGCTGGCGCTGGGCCACTTTCAAGACCCTCAGCGCCGGGTGGACGACCACCGCTAGGATGCACATCCTTCAGCAGCGCATGTGCGCGTTCAGCTGCGCCGACGCGCCTGGCTCCTTCCCGCGCTATCTCTCCTGCCCCGCCCTTTCGAGGCTCCTCTGGCTCCCTGACCCCCCCTCATCCAGTCGACGCTGGCGACCTGGGGACTTGGCCCCGCTGCAGCGTACGCGGCTGACGCGGCCAGTCCAAGGTCACTGCCAGCGACGGTCTCGAGGATCACCCTGGCCTTTCATATTTACCACAACATGAAGCTCACTGCTAGCGCCCGCGCCACATCTGTTTCGCAAGCAGATCTAGTCGCCTCGCGCCGCGCAGCACTCGCGTTACTATACAGGTAGAGGAGCTAGGCCCGAGCACACACCTGCAGAGACGAACTCATTTGCCCTCTTATCGTTCGTGCTCGTGTCCGCCTGCCCTCTTCCTTTCTTCAGGGTACCCTGATTCCTCCTCCTCATCCGCTCCCTCCGCCTCCTCCTGGCGACTCTTGCCCTCGCAGCCGGTACTCTGCAAGGGTCCGCGCGTGCCTTACTGCCTGGGGGCATGTGGCCCCCCGAGCGTAAGTTCCAGGCTCGCCTCTCTTCTTCATCAGGCAAAAGTGCTTGCGGGTCTGAGCGAGGCACGATTGGATTGGACACCAGTTTTGCGGCTGCGAGGTTGCTTCTCGTCTCCCTCGAGGAGGATGAGCAGGCGGGGCAGCCCTTTCCTGATGATGTGTGGCAGCACAGGCAGATTCTGCGCGATCAGGGTATACCTCCTCTCGGGGGCTCCGATTCGGATGCGGTTCCCCTCCTCTATGAGTTCCCTCGTATCTTTGCGAGGCTGCCGCAGCCGCTCGCCAAGCCCCCTCTGTGCTTGAGTGGGACCTCGCTTGGGGCCCCACGCTGTTCACCGATTGTGTTGGCCTCGCGGGTTCGTGTCCTGAGGCTGCTAGATGTGGATGGAGTGTTGCTGAGGTGACGGCTGACGGTTGGCCCCTCCGAGCGAAGTTCGGGGGGGTGTTTGGCCGATTCCATATTGTCACTCGGGGAGAGCGCTGGGCAGGGCTAGAGGCCATGCGTGTTGGCCCGCCCAGTCTGACCATAGTTAGTGGCCAGATCAGTTTTGCCCAGGAGGCCCAAACGTGGGACCTCAGCTCGAGTATGGCTTGTCGCGTCACGCCCCCATCTGGCGTAAAATCTTTCGGCTGATGGACAGGACGGGTTGAAGGCCGCAGCTTGTCTGGAGTCCTGCGCACAGGACGCTGGGAGGGTTAGTAGACCCTGGAGCTACTGCCGAGGAGCTGCACCGCTGTAAGGGCACAGTGCCTGGGCTGACTTCTCTGCAAAGCCCGGGGCGCAGGACGTGGCTGTTGCACAAGTCACGGTCGATTCGTTGAAAGTTGCTGCGAAGGAATGCAGGCTCACTCTCGTGTTCATGGTCAGGGCTATTCAGCTCATTTGCTATCGCCCAGAGGTTCGGGAAGCGGCCCCACCTCTCCGACGCTCGTGACTAGTGAGAAGCAGGATCGGCTCACTGCGATGAATCACAATCCTGTTGGTATGGCCCCTAGCTCGTCCGTTATCCAGTGCAGGCGCTGTTTGGCTGTCGCGAGGACCCCCTCCAATGCCACCACGCTGCTTAAGCCTGGGGCGAAGTGCGACCCCCTCCCATGCTTCAGACTCTGGCCCGGGCTGTGGAGCAGTTGGGGTCGCGCTCTGTGCCTAGTGGAGTTGGGGGCTGTCTTGCTGCTGCTACTGCTGAGAGTGCGTTGGAAGCGGGAGGGCTTCTCTTCGAGTGCGACGGCCATACAGTCTGTCGCACTGCGTCGCCTTGTTTTTCTAGCTTGTGCGGGGCCAGGTTGGCCGTCGGGCCACCGAAATTCGACAGCCTTGGGGCCCCATGTCCGGTGCCCCCCCGAACCCTGCTCGTCGGCGGGCCCGTGATTGGCTCGCTGATGGCAGGAACCCCATCGACAGCAAGCGTCCTCACCAGCTCCTGACTAGTTGGGATTTTCACGAATTCTGATCAGTAGCTGGCGTTGGCTTAGGCAGGGGGGGATTCCAGTGGTCCCGCGCGCCCCTCGGGATTCCAGTGGTCTTGGGCCCGTGGCGGGCGCCAGCTTCAAGCCACACGTGCTGACACATGTTCTGGCGCGTTTGCGACTCGTTGCTTGCACGCTCAGTGCTGCGTACTGCGCACTTGTCTCCCAGCCCCCCTTCGCGCAGTGAGAGAATCACGGCGCGAGGATTTTGCCAATTTTCAGCGTCCGGGAGCCCTTGGCGGGCCCTGGGACCGTCCAGAAACGATTCGGGATGAAAAGCCGGTCCCGGGGAAGCGGTTCAGACTTCCGGGGGCCCACGTCGTGAAAAAGTGTCAGGGGTGTGGGCTTCATGCGCCTCCTCCTCCTCCGCATCATCATCCCCTCCTGTCCGTCTCTCTTGGTTTTTGCAGCACTCTGCGAGGCGCGACATCCAAGCGCAGCCGTGCCGTCTGGCTCCCCGAGGGCAGCGCCGAGCCACGCCCAGGGGAGGTTGGCGGGACAGCGGCTGGGGGGGCCGCCACTTCACCGCACGATGGGGTGCGGGACCCCGTCTGCTCTCGGCACTTCGGACCTGGGGCGGGATTCGAGCCGCGGCGATGGCAGCGACGTCCCGCCCTTCGCGCGCGTCTTGGTGATTATTGAACTGTTTCGCGGTCGCCCGCGCCATCATCCGCTGAGCTGGATGCACTCACCCTGCACGCCAACTCACCTCTGTGCTGTCCCCCACCTGCAGCGCCTGGTGGCACTTCAGACCGTAGTCCGTGCCTCTTGCTTTCCTTCGTCACGTTGCCGCCACCTCGCCGGTGGAGGAAGAGAGTCTTGGTGATCCTCTAACCCACCGGCCGACCCGCCAACCCCTCTTTTGGGGAACGAAGAATGACATAAGCATAAAAACTCTGAGGTCCGCGCGGATTCCTCGGATCGGCGCTGGACCCCCCCTTCCTGGCGCGCGGAGCGCGCCCGGGGCGGTGCCAGAGGCGCTGCCATGGCGGTCCAGCGCGGATCCAGCGCGGATCCGAGAAATCCGCGCGGACCTCCGAGTCTTTATTCTTATGTCGTTCTTCGTTCCCCCGTTCTGACCCACCAGCTGACCCGCCAAGCCCTCTTGTGAGCGAGCTCCTGCCACGAAGCTCGGCGTTGCTGGCCATCAGACCTCCGCGGGATCTCTTCAGCCTGCAGCTCCCTTCGCTCGGCCACGCACAGACGGGGGTAGGGGGAGGTGGTAAGGCTTCAGCATCCTTTCAAGAAGCCTTCCCCCCTCCCCTATACCCCCTTGTGCGCGCGGCCAAGTCGCTGCAGCGGCCCAGGTTTGCCGCGGCGCCTTCTGTCGCCAGTCTGCTGACATATAGGAGGACGAGCGTCGTGTGCCTGCGGTGCCAGGTTGCCTCGGAGGCTGCGATATGCGGAACTGCTGCGACGTTTACCCACGCGTGGCCAGGGACACCTTCGGCAACGCCTGACACGCGGGCGCTCATTCTAGAGGGAGGGGCACCAGGAGAGCTCGCGCTGTCCGCTGGACGATCTGGGCACCCCCAGAATGCTGTCGGCGGGGCGGGGCTGCTGACAAGTGTCCCAAAGCTGAAGAGCCGCCGAGGGCGCACGAAAAAGTCCGAGACGATCATTGCCCCTTGATCCGGAGCAGGAGGAGAAGGAGGAGGAGGAGGGAGGAAGAGGCGGAGGAGCAGAAGGAGGGGAGAGGAGGAGGAGGAGGAGGAGAAGGAGGAGGACCAGTGTAAATCTAAGACGCATCAGCGATGTTGCAATACATCTTCCCTCCAAGTTCCCCCCTTCATAGGTTAACTGTTGGCTCCGCGTGCTTCTCTTCCTCGTCCCCACGGCGTGCCCTCGGTCTGCAGCCTCCACCTCCCCAGGCTTCGGAGCGCTGACCGAGCTCGCGATGGCCATGAAGCGGCGAGAGGAGCAGCGGGCGAAGCCGGAGGCGCTGAACCAGGCGCTGTGGCACGCCTGCACTCTGACGCTTGGCTACTGCGACATGCTGCTGGTCTCGGGGCCACAGGGCGACGGGGGAACCGAGCGGAGGAGGGAGGGGACGGGAGGGGACAGGGGGAGGGGGCCAGCAGGTGCGCTCGCGCCATATCTGACACCTTGCCCCTCCCACCCCTCCCTTCCCACTGCGCTTAATGCTTATCCATCCGCGGATGCGTACCACAGTAGGCGTGGAATTCGCAGGAGGAGGAGGAGGAAATGGCGGATGAGAAAGGAGGAGGAAGAGGAGGAGGACGACGACGACGAGGACGAACAGCAGCAGCAGGAATTGGAATGGAAGGAACGGGAGGAGCAGGAGGACCACGGGTAGGCGGAGGAGGTGAAGAGGGGGGGGGACAACGACGAGGAAAGAACGCGTCTGCGAGGACTATGGCAAGTGTCGCAAGTGCTCCGAGGTGAGTGCCCGCCAGCGGGAAACGCGAGCTGAGCCGTCAGGCCCATTGCAGCGCATGCTTTGCCATTCCGGTACGGATTTCTTCTGTCGGGAGGAGTGGCTGGAGCACGTTGACGAGGAGCACGGCGGCAAGCGGCGGTACCGCAACGAGTGGTTGGCGCACATGAAGGTGGCCCCTCACAGCATCGCTGGCCAGGAATGGCGCGCCGTCGTCGCCAACTTCGCCGAGTTCTACGGTCGTTCTGCGACCAACTGGGAGAAGTTCACGAGTGAGATGGAGACGGAGCTACGCAGCGAGGGACGCCGTCAGTTGCAGGCTTGCGCGTTCTGCGCCCAGCCCCACTGGTTGGAGGAACTCCACAGCCTCTGCATCGCAGGGGAAGGTTGCTTCATGTAGAAGCCGAACGCCGTTGGGAAATGCTGGATGTTGAGCGCCACGCCAGGAGGTGGCCGAAGATACCCAAGGCAGAGCTGGAAAGCTCTGCCGTCGTGTCGCTGCATCTGCAACGATGCTACGGAGGAGAGAACGCATCTACGTTTGCGTGAACCTAGAACAGGCAGCAGGGAGAGAACGCGTCTACGTTTGCTTTGATTGCAGGCGGACTTCCGGAGGGCCCCGCCCTGAATTCTGCAAGCACGCCCTCGCGAATGACTTCTGGCTCGGCCGCTGGGACCCGCTCTTCCGCGATGCAGACAAAGACGTGTTGTCCCACCAGATGCTTTTGGCGCTGGCGCGCGTTGTCACCACTAAGATCGCCCCGCGCCCGGAGTTCAACAAGAGCAAGACCTCTGACGGTGCGGCGAGCTGGGATTTCTTGTTCCACCAGAGCGGCATCGTCGGCACGGCGGTCTTCTTCCAGAGCGCGGACTGCCGCTCGGCGTTTCAACGTTTCCAGTCACCGAAGATGAAAGAGCCTTTCGCCGTCAGCTTCGTCGCCGACCCTGCGGCAGGCACCCCGCAAGAGCAGGCCAGGAAGTGCGTGTCCAAGATCGCTAAGCTCATGGTCGACCACAGCGTCCTCGACGCTCAGGCAGCTGCATTGACAGAGACCAACGAGGTCTATTCTCAGGAGACCTACGACCACGCTCTGGTTGCGACGCGGGTTCCCCGGGCAAACGTGCCCGTCGCCCCGCTGGTCATCATGGACGCCGTCGTCGGGGCGCCCTTGGAGACGTCGCCGGCGCAGGTCGTGGCCGAGGGCCCCGCCGACGCCGCGGCTCCAGGAGAACAAGAGCGAACGGAGGCAGACGTTGCCGCCGCCAGTGAAACTCGCTACGCCGTCGCCTTCGAGCCTCAGGTTACGGACTTCCACGAAGAGGAGACGAGCGGCGCAATGGAGATGACGGCTATGATGCAACAGCTCGAGGAACTTGACCACGCGGCGCAGCGCTCCTTGGCCGCCGAGGTCGAGTCCGCGCTGGAGTATGGAGTGGGCAACGAGGGCGGCTTGGTGGACGTCTTTGGGCGCGATTGCTCCGTAGACATATGCAGACAGGTCCGGCAGTCTCGCATCAGCCTTGACGCCGCTGGCAAGCAGCGAGAAATCCAGCGGGAACTACAGAAGACCGCCACTGGCAGGCAAAACTGGCAGGTGGCGCAAGAGGTGGCAGACACCGCAGCCACCAGCTCTGGGACCGTTCCACGCCTGATGCACCCTCGTGGGCGCGACCCTTCGTCCTGCTGGGATTGGCGGATCTGGGCCGCGGCCCAACCTGCGGCGCCTCGGAGACGCGGCGAGCTTGTATCCTAAGCGCGACGCCATGCCCACGCCCAACGAGTGGACGCTGCCTGCTCCTCCGGGAAGAGATGGGGCACGGCACGGAGGGGGAGGGACCGGGCATCTTCAGAGCCTGCGCCGACGAAGCTGGCGGAGGAGTCAATCGCTTCGCGGGCGACAGGGCGACGCTGCACTTTTTTTCTCCGATGAGGGCCTTTGCGTCGCAGCGCCTCCTGAAAAATGAAGGCTTCGCGCGGGCTCAAAAGGTTGGAACATCACAGCCACGACAACTGGCGGAGACAGCCAGCCTGGGCCGGGCCGGAGACGACATCCGCGCTTGCTCAGAATGAAAACGCGCCGCATCTCATCCGCGACGCGATGAACATGACGCAGATGGCCACGTCGCACGCCTTCGGTACCGACGGGTATCCGCGGCTCTGCCGCCACAGCGGCAACGCGTTCACCAGTCTCTCCGGCCCGCCGCTTGAGTCCTGCACGCCGAACTTGACGGACAGCGAGCAGCCGCGCCCCCCGGCGGTCCAGAGCTGGAAATGTCACTTGGACGGGGCGCAGGACGACAAGGGGGCGCACCCCAAGCACCGGGAGATGCTGCCGCGTTTGGCAGAGGACCCAGTCGGGCAGACCCGCGCGCCCCACCCCACGATGCGATTGTTCTTCCAACGCGCACTGGGGGCACGCCTGGAATGCGCCGAGGGCCGGCGCGCATGCAGGCGTTCGGACCCCAGCAAGTGGTGCACCGACGGCGCCGCCGCATCTGTTTGCGCCGCAGGCATATTCGGCCTTATGCTGGCCTTCCGAGGCGAGGTCGAGGCTCCGGCAGAGGGTCTCTGCACCCGCCTATCCTCGCGTGGCTCGCGCTGCCGCCCGCGGCCGAGGTGGTCGACATTCCTCGCCGAGACGAAGTGGAATTCCCGCGGAACCTTCACAGCTGGATGAAGGCCACCGTGGCCGCCGCGGATTCGATTAGCCGAAGTTCTGCGCGCTCGATCAAAAGACGCTCCGGCGACCTCGGGGGCGCCGACGTCAAGCCGCTTGGGTTCAGCGCCACAGAGCAGGGACTGGGCCCATTTTTGATGGCAAATCTGAGCTCGACGCGATGGAGCATCTGCTGAAGAACGCCCTGCAGGCGGGGCGAACCCGCGCGTGCCAAGGCTTTCGCGGTGTTGGACGGGCGCGCGGCGCCGCCCATGCCCGCCCTTGCGCGAGCCCAACGCGGAGCCCTTGACGCCGGAAGACGGCGGCGACGCCGCGCGGCAGTCAGTCTACGCGAAGCCCATCTCGGATTTCGCCGTCGGAAAAGGCTAGCCGCGCAGACGCCGCGGTCCCCTGCGGAGGTCGAGCCAGGAGCCTTCCGAAAGCTAGTCTGGGCGGAGCGCCGCGGCGCCGCCGCCGGCGGGGGCCGGCCAAGAAATCAACGCGGAGCAGCGGGAGAGCATCTTCGCCGACGATGCGCGGCCCCTGGCCACGGAAATATTGGATCAAATTTGCGGCGGGTCGTGCCACGAGCACTCTGGTCTGAGGAAGGTCCAGCAGATATGCCGCCGCGGCTTCTACTACATCGTGGTGCTTCTACGACTGGGCGCAGCGGGGCGAAGGGATCTCGTTTCGACGCCGGGGCAACGCTCTCCGGAACCAGATCTTCATCGCCAAGGCAACGCAGCACGGGATGCAGGGCAGGCTGCTCACGCTTCAAGAACACCCTTTCGAGGTGCAGACGACGCTGCCTCCGCTGCGATCTCGACGCCCAAAGTCTACGTAGAGTGCCCCCCGAGGGCCTTCGGAACAGGGAGCACGAGACGCGCCTTCACCTGCCCCGTGCGACAGAGAGACGTTGAGGCACATGGGGACATACGAAAAGGGATGGCGAAGAATATGCAAGCAGGACGAGCGCTGCCGTCGGCCGCAGCGACGCCGAGCAGCGGGCCGACGGCAATGCGCGCTCGGACTGACGCAAGGCTTCTCTCCGAGCCTTCGCGCGCGTCGATGACGACGCGGCACGCGGGCAAACGGCGTTCAATTGCGAGCATTGCGGCGCCCCGCATCACGACGAGCTCGGCGAAGACGACCATGCCTGCGAGCGCTTACACTACGCGTGCACGCGCGCGTCTACGGCGGCTTCTTGACGACGCCATCAACACGGGCTTCTACCTCAACAGCAACACCAAAAGCAGTGCCCCACCACGAAAGGGGCCCTCGAGAACCTCCGGCAGGGGTTGGACTGCCCGCAGGAAACGAAGAAACAGGAGCAGAAGGAGCTCGAGAGGATGCGCGCCAGAGACGAGGCGCGCATCGGCGAGACGGAAGCCAAGAAGGCGCACCCGGGGAAATCGGCATTCGCGTAGACCCTAGCGACCATCAACCGGGCGCCTTTCTCCTATCGCCGCTGCTATTGAAAGAGCGGTGAGGAAGTAATTTGTCCCTGCGCTCTACGGCCACATGACCATCGCGAGCCACAAGCGCTGGACAGCGCGCGCGAATATGGGCGCGTTCCAGGCGGCCGACGCGCGGAGGCGGCAGCACGGCGCATCCGCGCCGCACGCGGCAATCAGGGCTGGCGGCGGAGGCGTCACCTAACATTTTCGCCAAGGCACCCGAGAGTGAAAGAAGCGAAATGCACACCGATGCCCCGCTCTTACGCCTTAAGTGTAACTTGGCACGGGGAAGGTTCTTCGAGCCCCCTTCCATTCTGGACAGGCATGGGACCGCTCCCGCTGGCGGGCCGGCGCTGGATCGACCAAGACGGCCAGAAGTTCGTCGACGAATCAGGCGGGCTTCAAGTGCGCAACGACGGCGGAGGCGCTCGACATTGAAATGCCCACGCAGGGCGACGGAGGGGGCAGAGACCACATCGGAAACTGACCATCATCCAACAGTTTGCCGATCAGTGCTGCACGGAGGCGCTCCACCGGGCCGAGGAGAAAGACGGCGCCGAGGGCGACGGCGACGCTGTCGATGACAACAAGCAAGACCGCCAGAAGGAGACGACCAGTCCTCTGGAGGATTACCTTTGGCGCGGCAGCGATCCAGTTCTGAATCACATCCCCTGACACGTTTGCAACATGCGGGTGTACCGCATCGAAAAGTCAGAGACGAAGTTCAAGGAAAACGGCGAGCCAGCGAAGAAGTGGAAGGTTCGATATTCCGTTCGATGGTTTCGCGTTGCACAACAGTCACCTTCAGCGCATTGCGACCGAGTTACGCGCCCCCCTCCTCGAGGGCTCCCACACGCCTCCCAATACAAGGGACAGTGAAACCAGGCCCTGATCCTGCGCCCCGTCTCCACCATTCCGGACAAAGACAAGGGCATGGGCATTCGCGAGGCACGGAGATTCAATCCGCCTTGCCTGGTGGAGGGCAAAGCTACGGACGGCAATCAGGCTGCCATTCGCATGGAAACGGCCGCCTGCCCCCACGGTCTGAAGGCTCATTTTTTTTCACCGGCCAGCTACAGGCCATGGCTTAGGGGAGATAGCTTTCTCGAGTGGGCTCTGCAAGTAAAATCTCTCAACAGCGATCTTGCCTTGGGCATCGGCGGTTGCTTCCCCCTCCCTTGTCTTAGGCGCCCACGCCTTCTTGGCTGACGCACCTGGACAAGTAGAGCGCCTTGGCCGCAGAAGCTTCCAAACGTTTCCTAGGGCGCCACGGATATGAGCTTGCATGAGACACTGGAGGCGCAGGACAAGCTCAATGACACGTGGGCCGACGAGAACAAGGGGCCTATCGCGACCCAGGACGTCGAAGATCCAGACAAGGAGAAGACTCGCGCCACCGTTCGTCAATACAGTGTCCTCATCGCCCAGAAGAGCCAGGCCAATTTGGAAGGCCTGGCGCGCGCGCGAGTGGAGAGGCATAAAAGACAGTACCAGGCGGGCGCCGAGATATATCAGTCCTACATCCTCGCCACAACGGGAGGCTCCGGCGGTTCTGTGGACGAGCCCGAGACACCTGCAGCGCCGCAAAATGTTGTTGCGGTGTCCCCACCACTGCGTGGCCCCTTCGACGGGGAGGAGATGCGGGCCATTCTGGACTTCGAGCATAAACCACGCCCGTCGTAGTTCCTGAGAGACTTTTTGACGCTGCCCCTCACGAGCGACATTGCAGAGTTGGACGACGAGAACGACGGGGTGAAGACGCGCAGACTGGAGCGCAATTTGTGGCGGAGCGGTCATGAGAAGCTCAGGGGCGCGCAGGCGGATGTGAAGATTGGGCTGCTGAGGACGCAGGGGAGAAGCACTCGACGTCAACCCAGAGGAAGACCATGGATGATGCAACAAGGACCGAACACAGACCCCAGGGCAAGCAAATGCCAGCGGCATCACGCGGCAAAGATGGCGCCCACAAGACACCACGTGCTTTCATCCGGCAGCTCATGTCGCTGCTGCCCCCAGACCAGCGATTGACTCGGCGACAGACGTTCTTCATGGCCACCTTCGCTGAAGCCTGCGACAAGGCCTGGGAGGAGGAGAAGCCGCCGCCCGAGCAGCGGGAGCCCACGCACCTGCTCCGCCTCGGCGCTGGGGGCGCAGGCAAGACACACGCGGCGCAGAAGCTGGCGTTCAAGGCGGTGGAATACATCTGGCCCAACGAAACGCCCGAGTCCCCGTCGATGCTGGCGGTGGTTTCTACTAACCCGCAGGCGAAGAGCATGTCCGCCGCCGAGTAGAAAGCGAGGACTCTGCACAACGCTTCAGGCATGCGCGCTCAGGAGATAGTCAACGCGAACATGCGTCCAGACGACAGAGCGAAAGCTCTCGAGGAGCGGTGGAGGAACCTGAGAGCGTTCGCCATCGAAGAGGTGAGCGTGGCGTCCGCCGTCGACTACAACATGCTGGACTTCTGGGTCACGCACGGGCTCATGAAGACCCACGCAGTCACGGAGGGCAGCTACACGAAGGAAAGGTGTAGCTTTGGCAGGTGCCCCATGGTCATCCACCTGGGCGACTTTCTGCGGCTGACACCAACTGCGCAGCTCAGCCTGGTGACGGATGCCAACGTGAAGGGCGCCAACATCAATGACGTTCTCAAAGAACCGCCCACCCTGGAAATTCAGAACGCAATGAAGCTCTTCAAGAGGATCACCTGTGTCACCGAGTTCCTCGGGACAACGTTCCGTGCCCGGCGATCCCCTCATCGAGCTCCTGACGCGCGTGCGCATCGGCAAGCAGATCCCCGGCCCTGTCTGGAAGGCGTTCGAGGCGACGCTGGCCAGCGAAAGCCTCTCCGACGTCTAACCTGAGCTGGGCCCGCGGCACGCGGGGGGGGGGAATTCCTCGAGGGACACGGCCTGACCATGCACTGGGAACCTCTGGCGCGCTGGATCGCCAAGAGCGCGCGGCGCGACGCCCGCGTGCTCGAGATGCCCTTGGCATTCCTGCAGGCCTCCGACAAGTGTCAGACCATCCCCGTCGTGGACGAGGCGACGTACTCAAGAATGCTGAACGTTGCCGACATCTACCGACCTGGCAGCATCCACTGCGCGCCCCCCGCTCGCGCGGGAACGCGGGTTCGCTTTAGTGGCAAGGCAAGTTCAATTAAACAAATGGCCTCGTCAAGAAGCAGCGGGCCACCATCGTTGACTTCGTGCTCGACACGGACGACCAGATAAACAACGACAACGCGCGCCCGGCCGAGATCTTCAGGCCGCGCCGTTCCCCGACAGGAATGCGGCTGCAGGTCGACGGCTGTCAGGCAGGCTCCAACGCAGCAAGAGTTCATGGAGTACGTGGACAACGAAGAGATGGCTGCGAAAGAGAAGACTGCTTGCGGCCTGGTCTGCACGCCTCTGATGGAGGCTGTTTTCACCCAGGAGGCGTCATCCGCGGCGCACAGCACGAGGCGCATCGGCTTCGTGTTCTCGCACGCCCACTACCTGGCGACGACGGCATTGCAGTGGCAGACGATACGCGGCGCGGTGGCCATCGACTGCGCGCGCCGGGAGCCCCAGGGGCAGCGCGGCGATGACGACGACGCACGGTGGCTGAACCTCTATGCGATGTCCTCCCGCGCCACCCAGATGGCGGACACGCTGCCAGCGCGGCCGCCCCCTCGCTGGCTGCTGGAAAAAGGCCCACCGGAGTCGGCGAAGGGCGCTCTCAAACGCTTCGAGAAGAAGAAAGGTTCAACGCTGGAGAGAGCCGCTCATCTTGCCGAGTAATGCGGGATGGCACTGCCAGAAGAAAACTGCCGCTTTAGCCCTCTGTGGCCCGATGCCAAGCGTGGACGGTCTTGCAACAGCTGGGTCACATGAGCCGCACGATCAGTTTTTCCATTGTCGTTACGCGAGCATGGCCAAGCTGCTGGCCCCACGCCAAGCGCCGACGACCTAGTTCTCCCGTTCTCCATGCGCCCAGCTGCGCGCTGCCCGATGCCAAGTGCAGATAGTCGCCGGATTCATCGCCCCGATGCCAAGTGCGGACGGTCTGGGCCGACAGCATCTCCCGACGATGTTTCCCATTCTGGTGGCGAACGCGACTTGCACTAACCGCTGAAGAAAACGAGCCACATGCCGTCCACTTCGCGCCATGTGCTCGTGCCTGGGTTGCTGCAGCTCGCTCCGCTAGCGAGGACGCTTGGCGCGTGAGCTTCCAGCGTGAAGCCGCGCGCAAGCGCTCGCTCGTCAATGTGGTGCGTCGCCTGAGATGTTTGCGCGAGCCACTGCGCAAGATCTTCTGCGCCAGCCGACGAAGTGCAAGGCTCTCGCACGACATCTGCATGAGCACGCCTGTCTTTTGCTTCAGCATGGAAGGCGGTCTCGCGTAGCGATTTCGGCTCTGTCACGCTCAGTTTTTGCTCAGGCCACCGACGAGCATAGACACTCGCCCTAGCCTTATCCATGCTCACACTCATGCTCATAGACTCACTCGCATTACTGAAATGTTTTCACATTCCAACCCGTTCACAGTTAGACTCCCCCCTGTCTGTCAATATTCAAGCCCGTTTACATTCGACGCCTTTTTTTGTTCCTAGGGACGGCGGAAGGCCCCACGCAAATAAATGCACAGATGGGGAGCTTCACACAGTGAACAATAACCGAGCATAACATGACATAGCATAACATAGCATAGACAAACATGCCATGAAATAACATAACAGAAAATGAGAAGGAAGAGGAGGAGGAAGGAGGCGGGTCAGTGAGGAATCGGCGCCGTCGGTGCAATAACAAAAAACCATCCTTTGCCGATGGGGAATCGTAATGCCGAGGCCCTGGTTCCCCTGCAAGCCAGCCGGTCCCCTCCTGCAGCGAGGTCATGGTCTACAGCCTGGAACTCGCCGCCGCTGTCGTCGCGGGCCTGGTTTTGGGGCGCGCGTGCACCAGCCACGTCTGGCCGCCCCAGGCGGCGCGGCCCTGCGGGCGGGGCTCTCTGGGCTGGAGGGGGCTGGAGGCGGATCGCGTCGAGAGGCCAGGGGTTCTGCAGCCATGTGGGGCGCTCCAGAAAGGGCTTCGCCTTTTGGAGAATTAAAGGAGTTGCTTTCTTTTCCCCGGCGGAAGATGGCAGAAGGATAACGCGGCGAATTCCGCCAGCGGAAGCCAGCGGAAGTAGAAATTAGCCTCCTCAGAGATGACAAGGTTTTTGGGGTTCCGGGTGTCGTGAGCCCATCATGTAGACGTGGAGGGCATAAAAAGAGATTATCCCCCATGTGCGATTAGGCTAAGCTAAAACAGCAAATTTCCTTGCACCAGTGCCCTTGAATCTCCTGAGGGGGAACTGTGCAGGGAAGGTCTCACAACATTCGATACCATGTCCGACCCAAAGGCTGAGTTCATGTAGATACCAGGATCGGGGGAAGCTTACTGAGCCAGGGTCGGGCGTCGGAAGGCCCATTTAGTCTTGAGTCAGGTGGGGCCTGGCCAGAAGGTGACGAAAGTCCACCATGTAGTCGTCCCAGCAGGTTCGCCAGGTTCGAGCGGGGTGGCGAACAGCTGTGCAGCCTAGCGCAGCCGTCGCGGTCAAGAGCTTTGGCCTGGTGGCCAAGGAGGAAGTTGGAGGGTTCATACAATGAAACGTTTGCCAGTGCAAACCCCAAGCAGAGGAGTGTTGCATTTTCGATGCGCAATGTGTGTACTGAATGATGTGTATGGTTCCACATGTGTTGCAATGCATACATACACATCATTACGCTTGTATATATGTCTAGACACATTGCAACACTCTGCGATGCAACCTATGTGGTGCAACCTCTATGGCCCAATATGTGCGATGCAAACTATGTGGTGCAATCTACGCAATGCCATCCATGGGGTGCCATTTGTGGTTCGCAAGCCATGTGGTACAATCTTTGTGGTTCCATTTGCGTGGCGCAGTGTATGTGTGCACCTGCAAACGTCAGGCACTGCACGAGGTGCCCACGAGGCGCCCACGATCGGGCACCGAACGACAACCCCGAGAACCCTGCCTGCACACGTCAGCGCACGAGGCACCCACGGGCGGGCAGTGGGCGAAAATCCGGGGAAGTTGCCCGGCTGTTGCAAGCACCGTTTCCGGAAGGACGCACCGCGTCTTGATGTGTGCGCGCGTGATTGAGCACAGTCGAGGCGGCGAGTCTGTGTAAGTTCCGTTCTCGTCCTCGTGCTCTGCTCGTGCTCGCGCTCGCTGACTTGCTCTGTCGCGCCGCCCGGGGCCGGGCTGCCACGGCCGTACTCGGCTTGGATCGCCGGCTGGGTGGCGTCCATGAGAAACATTGGGGCCGACCTTGAGTACGGCAGATTTGCGTCGTATCGACGCGGCGGCGACCCCGCCGCGGGCGTTCAATGTTGAACGCCGTCATTGGCACAGTCGGCAAACATGATACGACGTGGCGATCGAAAAGCCGCCGCTCCTTCAAGGGGGAACGATCCACGGGTCGCCACGACACGAACCTGCCGCACTCGCCGTCAGGGGGACCAGACGAACACTCCCCCCAAGTTGTTGACCGCCTTGCAGCGCAGGGGGAGACCCCCCGTAAGTTGGGGGCCAGCCAGAGCCCGGCGCGACGATCCGATTTCGATCCAGTTCGGGGCGAGTCGCTGGCGATCCGTTCCCGAGCAGAGCCAGCCTTACGTCGGGCCCGTCCCTCTACAGGGGGAATATTCCAAAATAGTCCAAAAATAGTCATAGGACGATTTCTTGCCATCTGGGGTATTTTGTTTGCCATGTGGGAGTATTTGTTTGACTGTGTCCAAAATCCCCTGTAGGAGGACAGGCCCGACTGAAAGCCAGCCTCGCGACTCGGTGTGGCTCAGGCCGGCCGTGAAGGAGCCTCGCCCCGGGCCAGCGGATGGCCCAGGCCTCCGAGACCAGCAGGGCTGCGTCGGGCCTCTGCCGAATCTCGTGCCCAGCCGGAGTGCGCCGCCCGCCCGCTGGGGGCGAGGAGGGCAGGAAGCGGGCCCTCGTTTTCAGAGTGCGGGGGCAGTTTTTACCTAACAGCGAAGACTGATAGGTTTCTAGTTGACTCAAAAGAGCTCACAGATCACTCCACAGGGGGGTCCGGGCAGGTGTTGGGAGTTGCCGGGCGGCAGGTGCCGGGCTCGTTTTTCGCCAACAGTCACACACTTCGTGCTCTTCGATTTCCCAGAACTCCATTCCCAGGCCACATTCTGGAGGGCCGAATGCAACAGTCACACACTTCGTGCTCTTCGAGTTCCCAGAACTCCATTCCCGGGCCACATTCTGGAGGGCCGGATGCAACAGTCACACACTTCGTGCTCTTCGAGTTCCCAGAACTCCATTCCCGGGCCACATTCCCGGAGCAACAGTCACCACTTCGTGGTCTTCGAGTTCCCAGAACTCCATTCCCGGGCCACATTTTGGATGCCCGGAGCCAACTGTAGGCCACTTCGTGGTCTTCGAGTTCCCAGAACTCCATTCCCGGGCCACATTTTGGATGCCCGGAGCCAACTGTAGGCCACTTCGTGCTCTTGGACTTCCCAGAACTCCATTCCTGGGTATGATTTTGAATGCCCGGAGCAAACTGTAGGCCACTTCGTGTTCTTCGAGTTCCCAGAATTCCATTCCCTGGCCACATTTTGAATGCTGAGGCAGGCTGATGCTGAGGCTGAGGCAGGCTGAGGCAGGCTGAGGCTGAGGCCGAAGCTGAAGGCAGACTCAGGCTGAGGCTGATGCAGGCTGAGGCTGAGGCTGAAGCAGGCTGAGGCTGATGCAGGCTGAGGCTGAGGCAGGCTGAGGCTGAGGCTGAGGCTGATGCAGGCTGAGGCTGAGGCAGGCTGAGACTGAAGCCGAGGCTGAAGGCAGATTGAGGCTGAGGCTGAAGCAGGCCGAGGCTGAGGCTGAGGCTGAGGCAGGCTGAGGCTGAGGCTGAGGCAGGCTGATGCTGAGGCAGGCTGAGGCTGAGGCTGAGGCTGATGCAGGCTGAGGCTGAGGCAGGCTGAGGCTGAGGCCGAGGCTGAAGGCAGACTGAGGCTGAGGCTGAAGCAGGCTGAGGCTGAGGCTGAGGCAGGCTGAGGCTGAGGCTGAGGCTGAGGCTGAGGCAGGCTGAGGCTGAGGCAGGCTGAGGCTGAGGCTGATGCAGGCTGAGGCAGAGGCAGGCTGAGACTGAAGCCGAGGCTGAAGGCAGATTGAGGCTGAGGCTGAGGCAGAGGCAGGCTGAGGCTGAGGCTGAGGCAGGCTGATGCTGAGGCAGGCTGAGGCTGAGGCTGAGGCTGATGCAGGCCGAGGCTGAGGCAGGCTGAGGCTGAGGCCGAGGCTGAAGGCAGACTGAGGCTGAGGCTGAAGCAGGCTGAGGCTGAGGCTGAGGCAGGCTGAGGCTGAGGCTGAGGCAGGCTGATGCTGAGGCAGGCTGAGGCTGAGGCTGAGGCTGATGCAGGCTGAGGCTGAGGCAGGCTGAGGCTGAGGCCGAGGCTGAAGGCAGACTGAGGCTGAGGCTGAAGCAGGCTGAGGCTGAGGCTGAGGCAGGCTGAGGCTGAGGCTGAGGCAGGCTGATGCTGAGGCAGGCTGAGGCTGAGGCTGAGGCTGATGCAGGCTGAGGCTGAGGCAGGCTGAGGCTGAGGCCGAGGCTGAAGGCAGACTGAGGCTGAGGCTGAAGCAGGCTGAGGCTGAGGCTGAGGCAGGCTGAGGCTGAGGCTGAGGCTGAGGCTGAGGCTGAGGCTGAGGCTGATGCAGGCTGAGGCTGAGGCAGGCTGAGGCTGAGGCCGAGGCTGAAGGCAGACTGAGGCTGAGGCTGAAGCAGGCTGAGGCTGAGGCTGAGGCTGAGGCTGAGGCTGAGGCTGAGGCTGAGGCTGAGGCTGGCTGATGCTGAGGCAGGCTGAGGCTGAGGCTGAGGCTGAGGCAGGCTCAGGCTGAGGCAGGCTGAGGCTGAGGCCGAGGCTGCAGGCAGACTGAGGCTGATGCAGGAGCAGGCTGAGGCTGAGGCTGAGGCAGGCTGAAGCTGAGGCTGAGGCTGATGCTGAGGCAGGCTGAGGCTGAGGCTGAGGCTAATGCAGGCCACTGCGACTGTCATCGCGAATGCGACTACGACTGCGAGAACAGCAGAACTCTACAACTGGATTCTCATCTGAATCTTAAGGGGGATGCTTCCAGATATGCTCCTACACATCGCTGTTAGGTTGCTTTGCCGGGATAATTTACCTAACAGCGAAGACTGATAGGTTTCTAGTTGACTCAAAAGAGCTCACAGATCACTCCACAGGGGGGTCCGGGCAGGTGTTGGGAGTTGCCGGGCGGCAGGTGCCGGGCTCGTTTTTCACAACAGTTCACACACAGTCACACACTCGTGCTCTTCGATTTCCCAGAACTCCATTCCCGGCCACATTCTGGAGGGCCGGATGCAACAGTCACACACTTCGTGCTCTTCGAGTTCCCAGAACTCCATTCCCGGGCCACATTTTGGAGCCCGGAGCCAACTGTAGGCCACTTCGTGCTCTTCGAGTTCCCAGAACTCCATTCCCGGGCCACATTTTGAATGCCCGGAGCCAACTGTAGGCCACTTCGTGCTCTTCGAGTTCCCAGAACTCCATTCCCGGGCCACATTTTGAATGCCCGGAGCCAACTGTAGGCCACTTCGTGCTCTTCGAGTTCCCAGAACTCCATTCCCGGGCCACATTTTGAATGCCCGGAGCCAACTGTAGGCCACTTCGTGCTCTTCGAGTTCCCAGAACTCCATTCCCGGGCCGCATTTTGATGCTGATGCAGAGGCTGAGAATGGTGATGCTGATGCTGAGGCTGAGGCTGAGGCAGGCAGGCTGAGGCTGATGAGGCTGAGGCAGGCTGAGGCTGAGGCCGAGGCTGAAGGCAGGCTGAGGCAGACGCTGAGGCAGGCTGAGGCTGAGGCAGGCTGAGGCTGAGGCTGAGGCTGAGGCAGGCTGATGCTGAGGCAGGCTGAGGCTGAGGCTGAGGCTGAAGGCAGACTGAGGCTGAGGCAGGCTGAGGCAGACGCTGAGGCAGGCTGATGCTGAGGCAGGCTGAGGCTGAGGCTGAGGCTGAGGCTGAGGCTGATGGGCTGAGGCAGGCAGGCTGAGGCAGACTGAGGCTGAGGCTGAAGCAGGCTGAGGCTGAGGCTGAGGCAGGCTGAGGCTGAGGCTGAGGCAGGCTGATACTGAGGCAGGCTGAGGCTGTGACTGCGACTGCCGCTGCCACTGCGACTGTCATCGCGAATGCGACTGCGACTGCGAGAACAGAAGAACTCTACAACTGGATTCTCGTCTGAATCTTAAGGGGAATGCTTCCATATATGCTTCTACACATCGCTGTTAGGTTGCTTTGCCGGGATAATTTATTTGGACGCGGGCTGACGACTAGCCTCAGCTCCCTGCAAAGCCGACGAACGGCGAAGGGCCCGAAGGCCGAAAGGGACGGGGGACGGACCCAGGACCCGAGACAAAGCCGACCGAAAGGACCGACCGACAAAAACAAGGGCCGAAACCACGAGGGCCACGGGCAGCAAGAGTGCGGGGGCAGCGAGAGGGAGCGACGGGTGGGCGCCGGCGCGGGAGAGAGGAGCGACCAGGGGCAAGGTCAGGAACGGGTAGGCTTAGGTCGGGCCTGTCCCCCTACAGGGGGACGTTGGGCGAAAAAATAGGAATTCCCATAAGATATTCCAAAAATATTTACAGATAGTCGAAAAATCGTCCCCCTATCATTTTTTTATTTTTCACCTAACAGCGAAGACTGATAGGTTTCTAGTGGTGTCAAAAGAGACCATCTGATGACTCAGAAGGGAGGTCTGGGCGGCATCCCGACAGCGAGGGCCGGGCTCAGGGCCGGGCTCGTTTTAAGCAAACAGTCACACACTTCGTGCTCTTCGACCTCCCAGAACTCCATTCCTGGGACACATTTTGAATGCCCGAAGCCAACTGTAGGCCACTTCGTGCTCTACGACTTCCCAGAACTCCACTCCTGGGCCACATTTTGGATGCTCGGAGCCAACTGTAGGCCACTTCGTGCTCTTCGATTTCCCAGAATTCCATTCCCGGGCCACATTTTGGATGCTCGGAGCCAACAGTAGGCCACTTCGTGTTCTTCGACTTCCCAGATCTCCATTCCCGGGCGACATTTTGGATGCCCGGAGCCAACTGTAGGCCATTTCGTGCTCTTCGACTTCCCAGAACTCCACTCCCGGGCCACATTTTTGATGCTCGGAGCCAACTGTAGGCCACTTCGTGCTCTTCGACTTCCCAGAATTCCATTCCCGGGCTACATGTTGAATGCCCGGAGCCAACCGTAGGCCACTTCGTGTTCTTCGGGCCACATTTTGCTTATTGGATGTCCCCGTCATATCTCGCGCCACCCGATTGCCGGTTTGTTCTGTTCGTCATCGTGCAGGGCAAGACGGCGGACCCAGGCGTCATCGTGCACTGGACGTTTCCGCCCGAATCTAATATTTGTAATAGCAGTAGTAGGAGGAGCAGGAGGAGCAGGAGGAGCAGGACGAGGGAGGCTCCTTACTCTTTCCTCCCTCCCCTTTCTCCCTTCATTTCTGTACTGGGTACCCGACCCTCTATGACGTTTTCCGCAGGCCTGGGTGGTCCACTCAGGCCGCGGGGGAGGTGGGGTCTTCTTCTTTCCCTAAACAGTTTGATCCTCGTCGCCAGTACTGAGGAGGGGGAGGGGCACCGTTCCCTCGGATGGGCACACCCCCCCTCCGGGAGCTCTCGATCCCATCTCTCTTTTTTTCTCTCTCTCTCTCTCTCTCTCTCTCTCTCTCTCTCTCTCTTGCTCTCCTTCTTTCGTTCCCTCCTCGAAGCAGTATTCTCAAGATCGTCATCATCAAGCGTCTGTGGTCTCACAGCGTCACAGACTCATCATCTTCATCAGCCTCCCCGTAGCCTTCTTGGCTACAGCCCTGCTTCTGAAGATTCCCTTTCAAAGGAACTGCGCAGCGCCTACTGCACACCTTAATGCCAGGACATGCCGGTAGTTCTCGGTCTGGCGGCGGTGCTCCTGAGCCTGCTGCATTGAACAGCGGTGCTCCTCAGACTCCGGCAGTGAACAGCGCTGCTCCTCAGCGCGCTGCATTGAGCGGCCCTCTGCAACGCTCGTCGAGCACGTGAAGCAGTTCGGCCGGATGCCGAAGCGAAATAAAGGAACGTCCGAACAAGAACGGGCCGAAAACAAGTTGGCCAAACGTTTCTCGGACCATCGCGACCGCATCCCCAAAGACGTTTTGGATGAACTGCGGGCCCTGGGCTGTTCTGATCAGCAGACGGAGACCGAGGAGTTCAAGCGGAAGCAGAGGACCGAGGAGCTCATGCAGCAAGTGCGAGACCTCGGCCGCATGCCAGGACATGCTGATAGTTCTCGGTCTGGCGGCGGTGCTCCTGAGCCTGCTGCATTGAACAGCGGTGCCCCTCAGCCTGCGGCAGGGAACAGCGCTGCTCCTCAGCGCGCTGCATTGAGCGGTCCTCTGCAAACGCTCGTCGAGCACGCGAAGCAGTTCGGCCGGATACCGAAGCGAAGTAGAGGAACGTCTGAACAAGAACGGGCCGAAAACAAGTTGGCCAAACGTTTCTCGGACCATCGCGACCGCATCCCCAAAGACATGTTGCATGAACTGCGGGCCGTGGGCTGCGCTGATCAGCAGACGGAGACCGAGGAGCTCAAGCGGAAGCAGAAGACCGAGGAGCTCATGCAGCAAAAGCTAGACAAGACCGAGGAGCTCATGCAGCAAGTGCGAGACCTCGGCCGCCACCCGAAGGAGCACGCCGGGCGTAGCCTCGCAGAGCGGCAGCTGGAAGAGAAAGTCCGGAAAGCACGGAAGGCCAACCAGTTCTCCCCGGAGCAGGACGCCGAGCTCCAGGCCTCCAAGCAAGCGGAGAGCGAAGCCACAACAAAGACTCACATCGCGGAGGCGGAGGGCCTTCCAAACCCCATGGAAGGGTTCGCTGAGGAGGCGCAGAACAGGATCGACCAGGACCTGCTGATGCTCGAGAGTGGCACCCGGACCAAGCCAATCCTGCGGCGCCTTGCCGCCTACCAGGAGCTTGTGTCCAGCCTCTCTGCGCAACACACGGAATTCGCGCAGCGGCACGCGGAGCGGGCGCGCAAGGCGTCGGCCGCCCCCGCAGGGAAGAGCTGCTACGTTCCCGGCGGCGAGGTGGAGGGGGACCAGCTGCGCGTCTTCTCCCCACCATCGGCGGCTGCGACTGCCGCTGATGTTGTCACTGCGACTGCCACTGCGAATCCGAATGCGACTGCGAGAACACCAGAGCTCTACAACAGCACTCTTACATGAATACCACAGGCAATGCTTCCAGCTATGCTTCTACACATCGCTGTTAGGTTGCTTTGCCGGGATAATTTTGAATATCCCTCCCGTAGAGGGACGCGCCCGATCTACGGGTAGGCTCAGGCGAGGGACGCATCGACCCCCCATCGCCCATTCATCGCCGTCACAGTCGGGCCGAACGAAACGGGGGATTAGGGAAAGGAGGGGTGACGAAAGCTGCTGCATTCAGCTGGTCTCGGCCCCGCCGCCAGGCTCACTCCTCCATGCATGGGCGCCCCCCGGCGCCAGGAGGCGCTGGGGGAAAATCAGCTGCGCGAGCCTACTCTCTAGCCTGCCCTTTGCTATCCCCCCCTGTCGCCCCCCCCGGCACAAGCCCGAGAGCCCCACCCCGCCAGGGAGCGTGCGGCTCCGCTGTCGGGTGCCCAACTCGCCGCGATCCATCGGCGGTGCGCATCGCAGACGGATCTCCGCCAGAGAGCCCGCCCGCCCCTTGCGACGCTCCCCCTCCGCAGGCGTTCGGGTTCGCCCGCCCGCTGCCGAGGCCACTTGTTTCCCCCGCGCACGCGCGGCCAGCCTGCCAGGCCCAGTCCAGAGGCCGACCCAGCTCCAGGAGGGAAAAAAACCGCACGGACACAGTGAATCGTCGACTCCCAGGAAAGTATTGCAAGACATGGGAGGTGGGGGGGGGGGGGGCGGGGGGGGGGGGGGGGGGGGGGGGGGGGGAAGGGGGAGGAAGGGGGGAGGGGGGGGAGGGGGAGGGGGAGGGGGGGGGGGGGGGGGAGCGGGGGGGGGGGGGGGGGGGGGGGGGGGGGGGGGGCGAAAATCCAGAAACTATCGGAAAAATATCGGGAATCCTGGGATTTGTGTGTTTGTTTGTGTGTCCTTGGGCCCCCTGACAGCTCCCCGCCAGCTCGAGTTCGACTTGGGGCCGCTGCTCGCCGGGGCTGAGCACAGGGGCCCATGGCATCTAGCAGAAGAGGGCCCTCTTGGGGGCAGCGCTGGAAGGAGGCAGGAACTCGGGGAGAGGCCATCGCTGAGAGCGAGGACTCGATGGACGGGATCGGCACCCAGATGAGCGACCCGCTGTACAGCTCCACCCGGAAGCGGAACGGTGGCCCAGCGCGCGGGGGATCGACGCCTTGTTGCGTGGCGGAGTGAGCGCCCCCGCGCGAGCTGTCCGGAACCTGTGCCGCGTTTCACACAGAAGGCGATGGATGACCCCCGCTCACGGCGGACGGTTTCTGACAGTTCTCGGCCTCCGGGGGCCTTCGCTGGGCCCCAGGACCGTCAAGCAGTTATTCGGGATGACAAACCCGTTCCGAGGAAGGGGCCCAGACCTTTCAGGAGCCACGTCGTGAAAAGTCGGATGCCTGGGGAGAGTGGAAGTTGGCACGACCAGGCTTAAGTCGGGCCTGTCCCTCTACAGGGGGGAAAATATGATTTGTTGGCCACTTTCAAGTATTGTTTGAATATTTGCCATTCTTCGTCGAAAATCCCCCTGTAGGGGGACACGCCCGACTTAAAGTTGGCACGGCCAGGGCGTCCAAGTTCACGCAGCCAGGTCGCGGCGTCATCGGGAGGGAGAGGCAGGGCAGGTCGATATGTCCCGTTGCGGCCAGCCCACAGCAAGTACGCAGCCCATTTGCTCTCGACTGACGAGCCCTTCCTCCTCCTCCCTCCTCCTCCTCATCCTCATCCTCCTCCTCCCTTCCTCCTCCTCCTCCTCCTCCTCCTCCTCCTCCTCCTCCTCCTCCTCCTCCTCCTCCTCCTCCTCCTCCTCCTCCCTCTTCCTCCCTTCCTCCCTTCCTCCCTTCCTCCTCCTCCTCCGCCTCCTCCTCCTCCTGCTCCTCCGCCTCCTCCTCCTCCTAACGGCCAGAGTCAACTTAAGTTTCAGTTCTTGCTTAGATGCTTGCAGCAAGCAACCGAACCGTACCAGCGCGGTATCGCCGTTTATGCAGCACGGCTTTGCGTACGAAGTTATCCCAGACAGCCTCGGTAGACTGATCTGGAAGCGTTTGGATGGCAGCGCTGCAGCGTTGTAGCACAGTATGGCTGCGACGTTGCATGGTTATTGTGCTGCGTGTTGGGAGATGTCGAGGCTTAGTGCGGGCCTCCTGGGGTCATGTTGGGCTTGTTTGGGCTTCTCTTGGGTGCAATTACTTTACCAAGCTCTCAATAATAAGGTTGTTCAAACCATCTTGAGGCTGTCTGGTTGGGGCTCAGACCGTCACGATGCCCTTCGGCTGTGACCGTCTGAAAAAGCGCGTTCTGTGGGCGCTTGGAGGGCGAGGGGTTGGAACCAGACCCCCCCACTCCCCCCCTGGATTGAAGGGGGGTGGTTTCAAAACCCCCCCCGTCTCCTGTGACGGAAGGGGGGGTTCAAACCCCCCCGCCCCCTACTTCTCCTCTCTCCCTCTCCTCGGGCTGGCGCTGGCGTCGGCAGCGGCTGGCGGCGGCGGCGGGGAGCGTCGATGAAGACGACGACTTCCTTTTCTTGACTGGCGCCGGCGCTTGCGGCGGCTGGCGGCGGCGGCGGTGGGAACCGTCGACGAGGACGACGGCGACAACGATGACGACGACGACGATGACGACGCTCCGCCACTGTGCCTTGGTGTGGGGTCAGAGTCCTAATGGATGCCTCTTGGGGTCTCGTCGGAGGGCTCTCGGGGGCCTATGAAGGGCATTTGTGAATCCTCCTAGGTCCCTCTTGGATGTCTCTTGGAGCCTCTCTGAGGTGGTAGTGGTGGTGGTGGTGGTTGTGGTGGTGGTGGTGTTGGTGGTGGTGGTGGTTGTGGTGGTGGTGTGGTCGTTTGTGGTGGTGGTGGTGGGTTGTTGCGGTGGTGGTGGTGGTGGCCTGTGGTGGTGGTGGTGTTGGCGGTGGTGGTGGTGGTGAGTTGTGGAGGTGTTGGTGTGGGTGGTAGCGGTGGTGGAGGTGGTGGTGGTTGGTGGTGGTGGTGGTGGCTTGTGGTGGTGGTGGTGTTGGTGGTGGTGGTGGCGTAGCGATTTGTGGTGATGGTGGTAGTTGTGGTGGTGGTGGGTTGTGTTGGTTGTGATGGTGGTGGTGGTGGCGGTGGTGATGGTGGCGGTGGTGTCGTGGTTTGTGGTGGTGGTTGTAGTGGTGGTGGGTTGTTGTGGTGGTGGTGGTGGGTGTGGTGGTGGTGGTGGTGGTGGTGGTGGTGGTAGTGGTGGCTTGTGGTGGTGGTGGTGTTGGCGGTGGTGGTGGTGGGTTGTGGAGGTGTTGGTGTTGGTGGTGGTGGTGGTGGAGATGGTGGTGGGATGCTGTGGTGGTGGGGGTGGGTTGTTGTGGTGGTGGTGGTGGCTTGTGGTGGTGGTGGTTTTGGCGGTGGTGGTGGTGGTGGGTTGTGGAGGTGTTGCTGGTGGTGGTGGTGGCGGTGGTGGTGGTGTGGTGGTTTGTGGTGATGGTGGTAATTCTAGACCCTTCGCGTAACCCCACCATTCCACAGCCCTCTGGCTCAAGCCTTGGCTCAAGCCGTCTCGGCTCGAGCCCGCCCCTCGCTCAGGTGCGCTCTCGGGCCCGGGCCATGTCCGCCCTCTCGGGGGCCGCGCTGCGCCGCCGCCAGCGGCTGGCGGCGGCGCGGCGGGACGCCGCACCTGGTCTCTCCGGCCCACTGCCGCCGCCGCCGCTGCCGCCGCCGCCGCCGTCGGAGGCGGCCGGCTGGCTGGCGGTGGTTTCCGCCGCCGCCGCCGCCGCCGCTGCCGATGCCGCTGCTGGCCCCCGCCGGCGGCGGCGGCGGCGGAGGGCGCGGTGGCCGGCGCCGCCGCGGCCGCCCCTGGGGCCGCCAGCGGTGCGGCCGCCGCCATTGCAGCCGCCGCTGCCGTCGCCACCGCTGCTGCCGCCGCCGCCGGATCCCCTGGTGGCGGCGGCGGCCGGCGGCGCCGTGGCTGGCGTGGCGGCCGCTGCCGCGGCGGACGCTGCTGCCGCCGCTGCCGGCTCCCCGCTGCCGGCGGCGGCGGCGGCGGGCTCGGTGGCCCGCGCCGCCGCGGCCGCCCCCGCGGCCGCCCGCGGCGAGGCCGCTGGCGCGGCGGCGGCCGCCGAACAGCAGCAGCTACAGCAGCAACAGCAGCAGCAGCAGCAGCAGCAGCAGCAGCAGCACCACCGCAGCCGCAGCAGCAACAGCCGCAGCTGCAGCAGCAGCCACTGCAGCAGGACAGCGCGGGGGCGGTGCCCGCGGCCTGCGCCGCCGCGGCCGCCCCCACGGCCGCCGGCGGCGCGGCCGCTGGCGCAGCAGCTGCGGCGGCCGCCGCCGCGGCCCTCGGCGACCCCCCGCGGCGGCAGCTGCAGCCGCAGCAACAACAGCAGCAGCAGCCGCAGCAGCAAGGCAGCAGCAGCAGCAACAGCCGCAGCAGCAGCAGCAGCAGCAGCAGCAGCAGCAGCAGCAGCAACAGAACCCAGCCGCTGCAGCAGCAGCAGCAGCAGCAGCAGCAGCAGGGCAGCAGCCGCAGCAGCCACCGCAGCAGCAGCTGCAGCAGCAGCAGCAACAGAGCCCCGCAGCTGCAGCAGCAGCACCCCCCGCAGCAGCAACAAGAGCCACCCAGCGACCGCAAGAAGAACCCACGAGAAGACGCAGAGGCACCTGTGCTCCCTCAGCAGCAGCAGCAGCAGGGCAGAGAAAAGGAGAGGGAGGTCACGGCGGAGGCTGCGGAGGCCGCGGAGTTTCGGGGGCCCGAAGCGACGGAAGCTTCGGAAGGTGCGGAAGTGGCACAAGCCTTCACTCGTGTCTCTGGATTAGAACCGGGTGGACAGGGGGCGGCCCCCGAAAGTGCTGACGGTAGCCGCGACAGTCTGCTAAGCGAGATCCCGGGACAGCAGGGGCTCGCCTGCCACACCGTGCCACCCCCGCCTCCCCCTCAGAACAATCGGACCGTCAGCAGTCCTCTGGGAGCGCCTCAGACCCAGCACGGGGATCACGGACCAACCGTCCAGACGAAGGACAGCGAAGCCATCCACTGGCTCGTCGGGAGAAACCCCTTCGCGCCTATTCGCCCCGCTTCCCCTGTCAGCGAACCCATTCTTATGGACGGCGAACCCCAGGCGCCCACTCCAGACGTCCACGGCACGACTGGCAAAGAACCTCGCGCCCCGGCAATGGAAGCTGCGTCGCCGCGCGCGCACGCGCCTGGCACAACCAGTGGCACCCCAGAGACCGGAGAGAGTCCCGCGCTGACCGAAGGGGGCGCACCTGGGAGCGACGGCGGGCACAGGCCCGAAGGCGAACGCCAGCGAAAGGGGCCTCTCCCCACGCACCACAGGGCAGCGTCCGCCCTGGCTGCCGGATACGATCCGACCCCCGCCTGGCGGCCAACCAGCGGCCCGCTTCTCCCTGCAGAACCCCGCCAGGCGCGCAGCCGAAACTGTCGCGCGCAGATCGCGAGCCCTCCGGCCAGGACAACGAGGCCGGCACGCTGGAGACTTGCGGCCAGGATACACGGCGGCACCAATTGCCTGACCCGCGCCAATGGCCAGAGCCCAAGGGCCCCGACACGGGACAGCAGCTGTACAAAACAGAAATCAACCACATCCAGTGGGACCTCCCCGGGGAGACACCCGGCGAGGCGATAAGACGACTCCAGCTCACACTGGGATGTTCACTGGCACCAGGCACGCTTTCGCCAAGCGGCAGTCTGTGCCCGGCAGTAAGGGCGCGCTCGACCCGCTTCGGCACGACCCGCAAATCTGCCACGTCTTCTTGGAATCCTTCCGCAGCCACAAGTGCGACGCACGGGTCGTCAGTGACGCGCTGGGCCTCGACGTCGACTGGACTCGGCTGCGGCAGCTGCACCTGGGTCGAAGCGGCGGAGTGAGCAGTGATCACCACGCGGCAAAGGGCCACCCGAACAACCAGGCCCCCAAGAAGCGCAAAAAAAACATTGGTGGGCCGTCTCCCGACAGCAGCCCTTCCTGCCCCCCCATGCGGCATCGCACACGCGGGGGACAGGTGCGTGGAGGACGGTCACTGGCTGCAGGCCCGCTGCTGCCTTGCAAGACGCGGCCTGCGAAAGGGATGCACCCTCCGCCCCCCCCCCCAGGCGGCACCCCCCCAGGTGGCGCCTCCGACGCTGGCACACTCAGCGCGAAGGGAAGCGCATACT